AAAGCCTGGAATGTAGCCTAAGCAAGCCAGGAGCTAGCATATTGGTTGGCTGGGCTGTCTACCCTTATTTTTTCTCTTATCAAAGTTTATATATACAGACTTATTTTGTAAAATGCCTACCATATCAGGATCGTTCCATTGACCAGGTCCATTTACATCAATCAATTCGTTCTGGTATGCATCGTAGAAAGCCATAATACTCAAAATCGATAGCCAGGAGTTGGAGACGTCATTGAAGTTTCTCCATAGATTGCATGACTGCGCTATTGCAGTATAATTGATCTAAATTACAATTACTTCTAGGATCTCGGAAGTATTCAAGGTGGCTCCTTATGAGTAAAAGCAGGTTATCTTCTACTAAGGCTTTGCCTGCAGTGCAGTAATTTGGGCGTACAACTCCTGAAAATCCTAGGTACAGTTTCAGTCTATTACTCATCGCCCAGGGAGGTACTAGATTGCCCCCGAAATTTGAGTTACTGCATAAGAACGAGTTACAGCTCTCGTGCGATGTTACTTGAATTTTCGACTTTCTAGCAAATATCGTCCTGATCTACCTGTTTTTGCTCATCAATCAGATAATATGGCCATTCACATGAATACATTATTGGGCGTCCGGTTGCATTCAAAGCTTTTTCCATTTCTGGATAACCTACAAAAGAGATGTTGAATTCAGTGTGGTATAGAATTAATAGAAAAGAGATGTTGAATTCAGTGTGGTATAGAATTAAAGAGATGTTGAATTCAGTGTGGTATAGAATTAATAGAAAAATATAGTAAAGAATTTAGTATAGAATTTAGTATTCGCCAAGTGTGTATTTGATGTATCATATTGATTGGGCGCCGTTACACTCAAAGGTTGGGGGCAGAATAGCTGCTCAGGTTCAGTGCTGCTACCAATTTTTGACAGAAGAAATGCGAAAAAAAATGAAAAAGATTAATCCTTCTCCTACTTTCGGAATTGTTGCCATAAAGCACAACATGACTCCAGCATGTTACTGATTCCGAGTTTTTTTTTTGAAATTTTAAAGATCTTAGTCCGTCTGGAATACTCACCAACACCTTGCTCCGACTGTTTCATATGGCAACCGTCCAGTTTCAGGTAATCGCACTCCCAGTCGGCGAAAGTTTGAGCGTCAATCTGGAATCTGTTCATGTTCCTTTCTAATTCTTAGGGCATGTTGATCCGTGTTTGAGGGTGGTCCTCTTTCGGAATTGCCCCCTACTGAGTTTTACTTTACTTACTTTACTTGTTTTACTTCATCTGCTAATTGAGTGAGGCAACATGCTGTTCTCGTGCAATGTGATTCATTTCACAGGTGCAAAAGTAAGCGAAAGAGTATTGTCGTCGGTTCTATGGGCAGAAATATGGGTTGGGTGGTTACAATGAATCGGCGTCGGGAATTATATGAATTTGAGGCCTTAGGTATTGACGAGTAGCACAAAGTTATGTATGGAATGCTCAAACCTCTTACCTCAACGTGACCTTCGCTACCTGGATATCCAGCGCAGGTTTTATTTCCCCAGTCTTCATATATGCCCAAGTAGAGATTTCTGTCATGCATCTGTAAGTATTGAAATAAAAAACAGAGTTTACATTTTTGCGGTGTGACCAAGAATATTTTTTTCTTTAAGTAAGTCCTTTGCCCCAACTTTGTTGGCCTAACCTATGAAATTGCACTGAATTATTCAATTGTTGTATTGTTGCTGATGGTTTTATATCATAGGAGAAAGGGTTTTTGGAGGAAAGAAAATCGAAGATTTCTGGCATCGACTGAAATTTCCTCACGTATTTAGAGAGTGCCTTAATTCCCGAAGGAATCAGCATCACGGCTTCTTTCCATCCAACAGTCGTCAATGTGAATGTGGTTATAGCCGGCTTCAAGATAGCCATCAGAAACTGAAAAGGAGATTTTGCAAAGCTTATTTGTGACAAAATTTCTACTCTTACACAATGACTTGTAGCAGACAGTAAGTAGTAGAGGTTGACATCTGGCACAAACATTGCTTGTCACAACTAACCGAGTCTGTCTGCCATTGTCTGGTAAAGTTTCTCATTGATACAGTCATCAGGATGCTTTTCACAATTCGTTTGACATCGGAATTGTGTCCATGACATCCAACCCATGGGTGGTGTCCTGTAAATGCCTTTTTTAGACCCTATTTCATAGTAGCCCCCATTCTCAGCTGAATTTAGTGATCGACGTGGAGCGTCATGGAACCCTTTAATGAAGGTAAATGGAACTCCTTGGAACGGTGAGCTGCAGCGTCCTAATCGATAACCGTCTCGGATCTGCTACCCTCTCAAAAGGTTGTAACTTTTACAGTAGGAATTTCAGAAGACTGTAACTTTTACGGCAGGATTCCACCCTACAATAAGATTGAAAAGTAACTAGAAGCGTTCAACTGGGAGACCTTGAAATTAATAGGAAATAAATAAAACGCAAAAAAACCTCGCCAATCCATTGTCGAGACCAAGAGCAGTTGATGGTAGCAGAGCAATCAGTACAAGTATTTGCATCACCTAAAATACTAGTTAGCATTTTTAAGAAATCAAGGACTGCGGCTATAAAACGTGTAAAAATTGCTAGGAGCAAAACATAGGCTGATTTTCTACTGTTCTCTGATAAGCCGCATCATTCTCGCTCAAGAGCAAAGACCACCTGTTTGTCTGATGACGAATTCACAAAAGATAACAAGGAGCTGATACCTACCAGTTAAGTTGACCAGGACGTACGAGAACAAGGCTCCCCATCTTCTTCATAATTCATCAGGTTGACATTCATATTCCGCTAGTACAACGGAATTGGAGGAAAATCGCAACCAAAGATTTTTGAGCATTTCAGATCTGAAACAAGAAAATCAACATACTCCTAATGCTTTCAGGATTACTTCGGAGTACAACCGATTACTTGACGCAAGTACTATATCGCGTAAAACGAGAGGTGTTTTCTGTTACGTCTAGGAGTGATTAAACCTTGAAAATGCGTTGTTTATATATTTCTCTTGTGGGAACCTATTCTCGGATCCGACGGGCTATACTGGTTTGGGATTGGAGGCGTTGCGGGGATCCACCAGAACAAATCGATGATCACTGCGGGGGCGGGGGGAGGAATAATCTTCATTAATAATCGAAGTATGACAGCGAATTAAAGCTAACGTGGCTAACTGCCCACTGCTTATGGCATACTGACTTGAGTAAATTAAGTAAACAAGTAAATTCAACCCAACAACTTGCTCGCTAGTGTTCTAACGTTACCGAAATAGTCATTGTTTCTCGAAAAGCATACGTTGTTGGACTCACGGGGAATGCGTGATGCGGTCAGCAAACATAACTAGTAATGAAAAGAAGTAGTTTTTGATATTGCGCTGTAGTAGTTCGATGGAAGTTACTTTGACTGAGATGGGTAAGAAAGGGCTATGAAAACTCCTAAGCAGCACTGACGTTTGAGGAAAAACCCCAACACTCTGCTAGAAAGCTCAGGTCGAATAATGAAAAATAATGCCAATCGTTCTTGATCCCGCTTTTGGGATGCGCCGCGCGTCGACTTTATTCCACAATTGTAATGCTGTTTCGAATGTAGCCTTTACAATCATTTCCGGTGATCAGCAGATGTACAGGTCAATGATCCTATACTCTCAGACGAGCCTTTTTCCAATTACTCGACTCGGAGGCTATGGAAGGCTTGGTTGGTATGAACAGAAATAGTTTCGTGGTCCGATTCCTGAACCATTCTGCCTGAAATGGAAAATACCCAAAATCGAAGGACAAAATCGCAGAAATTACTCTAAATCACATTCTTGAAAGTATTCAAGCAGGAAAAGCAACAAATACCATTACTTAATATAGGTTGCTGTACAAAATAGTGGTTGCTGTTAAAAATTTCATACGAAATGCATAATTCATGTCCGTGCTGTACGAGTGACACTGACTTCACACAAGTGTTAAAAGTGGATGAAGTGGCCAGAT